TAATAATTTTAAAAAATTACATTATTGGTTCTGTATTTGTTTTTGAAACGTATTATAGGCAGGCAGTGGCGTGACAGTCTTTTTCGCTTCGTCTTCCTCGGTCGGGTTGCATAAAAGCGCTCCTCTATGCACACGTCCTCTTCTTTTGGATGTTGCTGGCACAGCACTGACTATTGGGTTCCTGTTGTTTTCTCTTCAAATCGTCTGTTGATTAAAAAGGATCCCCACCCCCCCACCCTGTCGCTGTTGTTTTAGTTTTTTTCTTGTAGTGCAAATGATCCAAGAACAGACAAGGGCACAAATTTAGCATTCAGACCCCCTCGTTTTTTTTTAAGGCTTCTAGTGAATTTGGGCTGCATACAATCTTCACCATTGCATGGAAAAATTCCAACCAGTCATTTTCACGTTGATTGACAGTTGAAGATTAGTTTCAGACATTCATAACTCTCAGTGTTCGTGAGGTTGGATTGCGACGGTGGGTGAGTTCACGCGTCTCGACCCTGAGTCTTGCATAGCAGGCGAAGCTGGCGGGTGTGTGTGTGTGTGTGTGAAGGGGGATAGGTTTGGAGGGGTCACTTCTTAGGCACCTTTATAACTGATTGGTTGGCTGTCAAAGTCATCATGATTATCACACAAGGCCGGGTAAGGTATGAGGGGGGAGACGATCCACCAGCGCCTCCTTCCCACTGTCCAGGATGGCGGAAATGATAAATTAATATTTTCACCGGTGCTCTGTTACGTCTTCACGCCTTGTGTCGTCAGTCTTTTTTCGCCAGTCAGTCCTTTTAACCATTGTCACAACCAAGAGAGGTCCTTCACTGTACATGTTTTGCATACAAACACTCGGTCGACATAAGAGTTATTTTCTCAGTTCTGTTCTGTTTTGCAGAGCAGAGGTTTCTGCCCCTTTCCAGTTCTCAAGTGTTCCAGAGCAGCAGTGGACATCTAAAACAATCTCCAGTCTCTTCTCAGCATTTGTAAACAATCCAGAATATTATGTTCTGCCTCGATTGTGTCGTTGCTTGTCCCCCCTCGCGTTCAGAACCCTCAGTTTATACCTATAGAAAAAAGAAAGGATAAAAAAAATTAAGTATATGTAACATACCACAATAATCCCACTGCTAAAACTCTCTTTTTATTTTTACAGCTGTTTTTTTTAACAGCTTTATCTCATATGCAGTATTGTCTGTTATATTTGGCCTGAATGTAAACATCTTAAAAATTCCACGGTGGTAAAAAATAGCACCTTGGAGACCAAGCAGAGCCAAACATGGGAGGAATCGACATAAAGCTCTGACTCTAGTTCATCACATGGCCCAGATAAACAACAGCAGAACTGTAATTTACACAAACCAATAATTCAGTAGTGATCAGGCTATCCTCCAGCTTAGATCCAAATACCACAACGCAGCCTTTCTACAAACAGCATCATCGCCGTCATGCATGTTGGTGCACCAGTGAAGGATGGAGCACTTGGGACAATATCATTTCAAATATGTTGATGAAGACGTGATATGTCTTATTTGGCTTACCTCTGTTGCTATGACGCATTCCCTCCTCTCCTCCGCTATAACAAATACCGACTGGTACATGGAGTCTCTTGAGGAGCATATTGTTGATATCCTACACTCTGGCTTTTCACTGCAGACACAAATCACACTTTGTGTTAACACAAATGAGAAGCACATGGCGGTGCACAAACACACACACACACATATATACATGGAGGAGGACAGGGGGGCTTGTTGTATGGCAATAATCAAATATATATATGTATATAAACTCAACATGTCGGAACCGGAGGATCTCATTTCCAAGTTAGGAAGCACAACTCATTATTAGGTTCAAGCAACTAAACGGGAAATGTGTGAGTGATTATTAGAGATTTCCACTCAGCAGGGCTCCATATACACACTACTGTGTGCACACAATTAACTGAGGAGGCCCAGGGACATTTCCAACTGGAGCACACATATTTGCTATCACAGCAAAGCAAGCAGGGTTACAATTACATTATGGTGGAAAACTGTCAGGCACAACTTAAGTACAGTGAGTAAAAAGTTTTCTTACCTGTACATTCTACTCAAGGGGATTTTATCTTCTAAACACTTGTCGTAAATAAGACTTTTATCCTCTTGGGACTTTTCATCCTTGAACTCTTTCGATTTCGAGTTGTACGAGTCCAAGTGATAGTTTTTATGGATAAAGTTCGATTTCTCTGAATCGCAGTCCACCTCCAGGCCGATTTTCTGATTGGTGTTTTTCAGCTGTGACGCCGGGATCAGGTTATCCCTCTGGAAATTAGACAGGTTGTTCATTGTCTCCGTGTCCCCTCCCTCCCTTCGGGCCTGCCTGTGGATGTGCCTCAGAGCCAGGCCCACCATGCATAGCAGCACGAGCAGAGCCACAAGCCCAATGGCCAGAGACACCGCCGCCCACTGAAAGCCATCTTTAATCTCCGGGTTGGTCACGGGAGAGGTCACGGCGGCAAAGAACTCGCAGCGGGGCCCGGTGAAGCCGGAGGGGCAGATGCAGGCGATGGGAGGCTTCCCCGGCCCGCCGCCACCAGTGCAGAGCCCGCCATTGAGACAAGGGCGGAGGGAGCACTCGTCCAGGAGTCTTTCGCAGTTTCGTCCGCCGTAACCCGCAGGACAGGTGCAGGTGTAGTCGTTGATTCTGTCTTGGCAGGTGCCTCCGTTGAGGCAGGGGTTGCCGGCGCACTCGTTGATGTTGATTTCGCAACGCTGGCCGATAAATCCTGCACGGCAGCTGCACACACGCATGCCACCATGGATCAGACACAGACCACCTAGAGGACAGGAGGTGGACAGTTAGCATCAACAAGAACAGAAAAGCTCATATTTGTATCTTCAAGGACAGACACCGCTGCAACAAGGAATTTTACATTTAGAGAAACTATATGTCCTTCCCATGAGGCCCTTTCAGTTTCTGTGACCACAGCACTTTGTACGTGTATTGTGTACTAAAATACGTATTGTTCTCCCAATCCCAGAGCCCTCCGTGTTTACAAGACGACAGAAATCGAGCTATGCTGGAAATTTGTCCCCTTTCATCAACAACCCCAGCGAGCCATGGTGACATTTACAAGCTGCTGCTCCGAGCTGCCGAGTGTTTATACGCAGGACAATAGACACCAAGTTCCCACCAATTCCTGTTGTTCCACACGGCTTCCAGTTGCAGGAATTCGAAGGGGGTGAGAAAGAGCGAGGGGAAGTTCAGAAAGGGGGGCCAAAGAGGGGAGGAAGGCCGTACCATTAGCGCAGGGAAGCGACGTGCACTTGTCCACTCTTTTCTCACAGTTGAGTCCGGTGTAGCCCCGGGGACACTCGCACATGTAGCTGCGGCCATTGTCCTTCTCCCAGCACTTGCCGCTGTGGAAGCAGGGGGAATCGGCGCATGTCAGCAGGCTGTGCTCGCAGTGGGAGCCCTCAAAACCTTGGGGACACGAGCACATGTAGCCGCTCTCCAAATTCTAGGGAAATGAAAAAGGACAAAATTGGTCAAAACACTCTAAAATAAAATCAGAGGGAATAAAAAAATACATATGATAATATATATATTTTTTTCTTTTTAGCCTTACTGTGCATATCCCTCCGTTCCTGCAGGGGTTGCTGTCACACTCCTGCATCTCCAGCTCACAGTTGACCCCGGTGAAACCCGGCAGGCACGTACACGTGTAGCTCCCCTGGCCTGTGTTCATGCAGGTGGCGCCATTGACACAGGGATGGTGATGGGTGCAGAAGTTTAGATCTGGGGAAACAGAGGAGTGTTTGTTTACAGATAAGCCTGCAAAGAAAAAAAAGAAAAGAAGACCTTCCCCGGGATGTGTGCAAAGCCATGAGGATGGAGCACTTCAGAGGAAACCTAATTTACTAATGCTTTCAAGTTCATTCAAATGAAAACAGCGTGGAAGTAATGTGAGACGATCTTTTAAAGAGGGACAACAGCAGTGGTCCAAGTCGTCTGGTGTACCTTGGTCACATAATAGGCCTCCCCAGCCCTCCTGACAGTTGCATTGCCATGGCAGCTGGCAGGTGCCGTGCTTACAGGCCGGGTACTTCTTACACTCGTCGCAGAACGTGCCTTGCCAGCCGTCTCTGCATCTGCAAAACGACAAACAAATACAGTCCTTGATTCGTTGTTCAATAAACAAGTTAACAATAAAAACAGTCAAATCAACAGCAGCCGACAACATGTCTCACAGGCCTGTCACGAATTAGTCGGCGACATTTACTTCTTCACCGCAGTGGGACGCAATTATTAACTTCTAAATCCATCGACGAAACTGAAAAAGACAAGTGTGCGACTCCTGGGTCATATCTTCCAGTTTTAGAATCGGTTTTACGGTTCTTTAATTCCTTACAACTTAATGGTCTGACTCCTCAGTATATTGCAGATCTTTTATCGCACTTTGAGATCCTCTGGTGGGGAACTTTAAACTGTTCTAGATTCTCGTCTGAAGACTCAAGAGGGACAGAGCTTTCCTTTGAATCAAAGCTTTAAACTTACTTTTATCATACTGCATTCCCAAATTTTACCTGATTGTATTCTTTATGTTTGTAATGGGTGGTCATGCTTAAATTTCTGCCAGTTTCTTGATTTATTCTTTTAGGACTTTTTATTGTTATGTTATTTTTTATCTATTTTCACTCATTTATGAGGCACTTTGCAACTTTGTTTTTGTTAAGTGCTATTTAATTATAATAAATAATTGTATAGGTTTTTTCAGAAAGCAGACAATAAATGGAGCGTGAAGTTTTTCCCACCACTTTTTTTTTATTTAATACACATGAGTTATTACATAATATATGATATCAGTTCTTTCTACATTACAGTGTGAATGGAAAAACTGTGTTGGGGGTACGCACAGTATAAGAATGTATTATAATATATTCCATATGTGAAATATTTCCTGCTGCAAGACCAACGGTCAAAGCTTTTCCCAAAGTTTCCCATGACTATACATTTCTCACCAGGAAGTGCAGCAAAATCCTGTCAAACTGTGAGATTGTGGGATTTAAGATGTACTTTTAAGGTTCAGACGATTTTTCTGCTGAGTGAGCAGAGACATGGAAGCAGTTTTACCGCACCGTGTTTGGTATCTACAGGGTTTAACCTCGATTCGGCTCTGTTTTTAGCGGTGGGAATGGTGGATTTGTGTCTGAAAAAGAGGGCAAAGTAGGATTCAGGAGGACTTTCTCACAGCGAGTGGTGTGTGAATTATCTTTACTGGTGATTGAGGGAGAACGGCTAGTGACAAGCAGCAGAGGAGGGAGGAGGGGAACATGGGAAGCGGAGAAGTGACGCAGGGAGTCGAGAGCAGGGGTTTTGTTGATTTAGTGAAAACCTGATGAACGATCTGTGGGATGGATGCTGATGTGAATCTTCAGATGATGAAATATGCCCCGCTCTGATTAGTTATACATAAACATGTTTTGGGAGAAAAAAAAAGATGAAAATGGGAGTTTGGCAGAACACAAGTGAAGGTTTCCACATGTGTTTCTCTCTGTAGTAAGAATGACCACTCACACACACTCGCCAGGTCTGGAGCAGTTTCCGTTCCTCTCGCTGCAGCCCTCCAGACAGATAGCTGAGGAAAAAAAGAGAGACACGTGAGTCTGCTGCAAATACTTGATCATGAAGTCATTTCCACAAGTTTCAAAACATTAAAAGAGATTTAAAGATAAGATTTAAAAAGATAAGATTTAAAAAATAAAAGTT